CTCCAGATCGGTAGGGGAATACTTCTTCTGGTTGACATGCAGCGGATTGCCGAGATTGACCTTGTCGAGGCCGGAGCCCGGATGACCCAATATATTATGCAGGTGCCACCAATAGATGAGTCACATAATCTATCCACTCCCTCAAGTCTGATGAGGTGGCTTGGATCGGGTTCAACCTATGGTGTGAGTCAAGCTACAGTGCTGAGCTATGAGGCTGAACTAGGGGTTCAAGCTAAGAGCTGAAAAGGAAGAGAGGTTAGAGTGCGTAGGTATATTTTTACCTAGGGGGACACTTCGATGCTTAAGTTAGTGAATGATCCTTTGTAAGAGAGAATATGAAAGAGTGAGAATTTATGAGCGCATACCTTTTGGAGTAGTCCTAGGGACTTTTTGTAGCTACCCGTGGTTCAGGTGCTATCTGGTAATGTCTCCAAGCCTTGTACGTAGTTGTTTGCTAAATCCTAGGGTGTACTGGTCAGCTGTTTGCTAGATCCATGTGGCAGTTATAGGTCGCCTACTGGTTTGGGGGCATTCAACTTGGTGGACTGTTCTCTGTGTTGCGGTTATAGCGCTTATGCAGGTGTTGTAGACGGGTCTGTTTCAAGCGAGCTGGGGGCTGACGGAGGATTGAGCTCACCCTAGCTCGGTCACATATCTGATGCTAACTGCCACGTGTTACTCCAACGAGTTGTTTTGTTGTGTCGGACGTTGTGGGCCGAGCTTGCTCTTAGCTTGGCTTCGTACATGATATTGTCTACTGCATGTTGAGCCGACGAGCTGTCTTCTTGAGTGGGACATTGCGTCACTGACAGCGTCAACGTGCCCATCATAAAGTGGGTTGACCAAAATGCCCCTCATCAATTTCAACAAAATCTCATTTAGGCTCACAAGCTACTTGAGCCAAGTGTTACGAAGCTTGAATTGGGATCAACTAACTACTCAACTTGACTCGATAATCTTCGAGTGAAGACGAAGCAGCTCATGAGTGGCTCAGCTCACTTACACCTCTACTTATGCGGAGTGGAACACAAGGCTGTTTTGTTAGGTTTTTGGAAAGCCAAGGATTGAGGACTTAAAAATCTTCAATTTTCTTTCTTTTTTTTTGTGATGAACAATGCATAGTTTGCCTCTTGAATGATCATATATCATTATGTGCATAGAACAATAGCTAACATATTTAACATTGTTAAAGTTTTGATAGTAAGTACAATTGGTGTAAAGTAAACTAACAAAAAATAAATAGACCATGTGATATCTTTAAGATGATTGGTTGAAATATTGAATTAACATATAACAAATATTTTTAAATACACCTAATTGGGCTACATATAAATAGACAACTAAATAGCATAGTACATAAACTTGCTTTCTAGAGCAGTTCTAACTCCCACAAAATGGATTATCAGTATATATAAATATTTCACTTTTTTTTTTATATTTGGGCCGTATTCACTTTTCGGTAAGTTACTTACCTGAGTAAATACAATTACTTGGGTATGTTTTTCCTAAAAAACACTTACCTGGGTAAGTGCATTTACCCATATTCTTTTATTTCTCATGTAAATAAGGCAATGACCAATTTAGCCATAAAAATCCATTATTAAAAGGTGCATTTTTGTCCCGTTCAAATGTTGGCAATTTTCCCCCTAGGTGGAAAAGTTATTTTCCCACATAGGAGATGGGTATCACTTGCCTAGATAAGTGGTATCTAGGAAAATAAATTTTTCTTGATCTCCACATAAATTTGAAAAAAGAATATAGGGTTCTTGGTCAATGGGACCCAAAATCCCACTGACCATCTTTCCCCCTTTCAAAATCCGAAAAAACAACACTCCCCTGGTGATATGCTCGAATCTCCAATAGGGCCCATTTGAGTAATACAACACTATGATTATAACCCCTCGCCAAATTTAGTGATAGCAGGATTCAAATCCCTATCTATGAAATGAACCAGTTAACAAACCATCTGAGCCACCGCTCAGCAATAACATATAAAGTGCTGCATTTTGCCCAAAAAAATGTTTCATTAATTGGACATGATTTTGTGATTAAACGAATAAATTAAAGATTGGAATATCCTTTAATCAGATGAATTAACTTCGAATGACCAAAATGTCTCAAATGCACGAATCTTCATTATTTGCACCAAGTCTGCACATTTATGTAGATTGTTGCATTGTGGCCCCAGCACCCTCTCGTTGGTCCCTCTCACCCTGCACCCACGCCACATTAGCGTGCAATTATGCTCCA